TTGGACTGACCTGAGACCCTGGCCGTGACCGTGCCACGCAGGGATGCAAAGGCTGATGGGGTGGGAATAAGCCCCAAGATTTCCCAGGGAGTGGATTGAGTAGCTGGGTTGTACTGGATGCACAGGATCAGGGAGTGGCAAGGTAAGCCTCGGAGCCCCAGAAAGAGGCTGGCAGCCCCAGAAAGAGGCTGGCAGGTGTTGCAGGACCAGGGAAGTAGAGGGAGGTGATGGCGGGGCCAGATCCAGTAGCAATGCTCCTGGGGCCCAAGGAAGCCACTAAGTTGGTCTGGGTGAAAAAGACCAGGAAGCAGTATTGGTTCCCCAGATGTCTGGGGCCCCAAGACTAGGAATGGCGCAGGGCCCAAACTAGGAGTAGAGAACAGCGGGGGAGATGGAAGTGTGAGTGTGGCTTGGGGAGTCAAAGCACGGAGGGCTGCACTATGGACTTACCCCAAGAGGTCTGAGGATGGGAGTGCAGGCTAGGAGAGTTAGCCGGTGGTGCAGGTCCAGGGAAGCAGAGAGAGGTGAGGGCAGGGCCAGGTCCAGAAGCGGTGCTCCTGGGTCCCAAGAAAGGGACTAAGTTGTTCTGGGTGCAAAGGATCAGGAAGCAGTATTGGTTCTCCAGGTGTCTGGACTTAAGCCTAATGTCTGGGAAGTGTAATCCCTTGAACCCTCAAAGAAATATACGGATGACTTTACTCTTTCGTTATATTTTCCTTTTGGGTGTTTAAGACTATACAGTTGGCCCAAATAAATCAATTTATCTTTACACTTAAGGTCATGTGAGGTTCTGTTCCTCAGGGATCACATAGGACTTGGAGGAGCTCTTGGCTCCTTTCTTTTACCATTTCATCTATGCGAAGATAAGTCAAAGGTCCTGCTCGACCATGTCTGACTTCACTTGGAAGTGTGAATGAGATGTTTCCTCTGAGTTGACCCTCCTCTTGTAGACTGGACACTGGTTCAAGTCCATCTGGTCTCCATGGCCTCCCTGAATAAGAGGATAGGTGACTCACCACAGTTACTGGACATTTTGAGAGCTGTTCCATAGTCCCCTGGAACTTAGCCGACCTTGGAGGGCAGGAAGCAAAAACTGTCCTTCAGGTTCCTCTGACCACATTAGTATAGGCCTCAAACTATGGCTGTTAAACATCCAAGAAGGTTAGTTCCACCATTCTGGTACTTTTAATTATTATGTGCTGTGTAGATAAGGCTTGGGTAAAAAACCAAATATTCTCAGATTAACTTTGACTAGATATATATTTTGTTCCTTAAAAAAGTTGACTGAACTATGACCATAGACATTTTAAGATTATGTGCATATTATTTTTGTCTCATCCTTTATATATCATATCAACCTAAACAGACCTTCATCACTTGCTTAGGCTTTCTCATTTTTTGTCTATTTAGGAAAATATCTCCATTCCCATATCTTTTTAACATCTTTTACAGTCTCATTTTCTTTTTTGAGAATTATGAGACATAATAGCATTAACAAATAAATTTTCCATCTGTTGTGAGACTTCTTTTCCTGGGGAAGGCTACGCAATGCTTATTCCCTTTCAAGGTTCTAGTGTTGAGCCAATGTTTGATTAAAGTTTTACTGGGGAACCAATGAATTTATTGAGCTTACTTACCGAGATAACTGTGGGGTTGCTGAGGTATATGTATGACCTGAAGGTTTGCACACTGGAAAGCCTTTATCCAGCATGGGTCATGCCTTGTCTTCCTAGCCTTCCCAAGATTGTATACTTTAGCCCTCCCCAAATCCAGGAAGCTGTGTGTGATTAGGGTCAAATTACATACAGTTGGAACCAGCCTTTTCTTAAATGGTCAATACATTGCCCCTTGCTAGCCCTGTTACAGTACTTTTACTTCAGCTTTGAGCCTAACCACTTCTCCTCTTTGATAGCAAACCTGTATGGCCTCATCTTTCTTCAGGTACACCTCTACTCATACTTTCTCCCTGAGCCTTCTTGTGTATCTGAGCTCTTCTATCCCATGTAAATAGTTTGCAGCTTTCCTAAGACGTGTTCCTCCAGCTCCGAGTCTAAGCTTTATTGAGATAGACATTTTTGTCTTTTACAACATAGCTTTTATTATGTGCTCATTATTTTTCTAAGACCATTAGGAAATCAAGCTAAAACCTGCTCCTTATACTAAAGTAAATCATAGCATAATAGAAATTGATAGTTACAGGAGACTTGAAGAACCATTCTTTTTTTTAAGTAATGGATTTAGTAGAAGGGGTGTGGTGGGATAAGGTAGGGAACCCTTCTTTGCCATTATTACTATTGAGGTAAAATTTAAGCACAGTGGAATATATTCAACTCAAGCACAGTTTGATGATTCTTAATCTACAATACTTCTGTCATCTTCCAAATTTCCTTATGTTCCCTTCTAGGCACTTCTCACCCACATATGAACCACTGTTTTGATTTCTGTCATCACAGATAAGCCCTTCCTGCATGATCTAGTTCTGCAAGAAATTAACTCCTCATCCAAAGTCCATCAATGGAAAGTGACCACTAGATAGAAGAGAGAGGGCTGGAGATTGATATAGTCATAGTACACTATATACACATATAAAAATGTCATAATGAAACCCATTATTTTATACAACTAATACTAATAAAAATTTTAAATTCTTTCAGTGAAGGTAACACAGTACCAAAGACAGCAACATTCAGAGATAGTATGAACAAGTGCTGTGCCCTTGGGCAAACCACTAAGTTTCTCTGGGCCTCATGTGCAAGATTCAGTTGAGTAGTGAGGGTGGGAGTAAGGGGATGTGTGTGTGTGTGTATGTGTGTGTGTGTGTGTATGCCTAATCATGTGTGTCAAGGCCAGAGTAGGCTGTCAGATGTTTTCCTCTGAGTCGGTGTACTGACTCTAAGCTCAAAGGCCCCACCATCTGCTCAGTGCCTGAGCCTAAAACAAGCCGGCCCCGTCCTCTCCATCTTTCCTCACCCTTCCTCCTCCAGTTGACCACTATATCACATGAGTTCTTGTACCCTTTCTGGATAGGTCTCTTCCTTTGGCATTCTGACCTGTTGTAATAGCCACAGTTTTTTGCTCCTGGTCACACTGCTCTTGCCACTGCCTCTAGGATAGTCCTTGCTTCTGTATTTAAAATTCTGTGCCTCTCTCTCTCCACCATTCAAGATGCTTCTCTGCCATTTACAGTGCTTAAATTCTGAATTTGGACAACATAGGGCCTGTACTGTATGCTCCCAGCCTGTTTCTAGTGTCCTGTTCCCATGGTGCTCTCTATCACCCCTTCATCTGCAGAATCTGCCCCCCCGACCCCATCTCCTCCTATGTCCCTTTGGGGCTGTTAGACCTTATGCATACCTATTATCAAAATGTTGGAGACATCTTGAAGCACACCAGAGACAGTTTTACCATTTCTTCATCTTCAGCATCTGGCATATAATTCTTTAAAACAACTTGTTACTAGGCAGAATGTTTCAGGTCTTGATCTTTAAAACTTCAAGTTATGCTTATAAAGAAGAGAGAGATTTTCATGTGTTTCTGACTATTCAGGTCTGGATCTGAAGTTTCCTTTTCAGTAATTAACTTGTTAATATTAAGCTAAACATGAGAACATTTGTTTTTATTTGGAGAAAATATATGAGTAAAAGTTGTCAGGGTAGTGAATCCTATGGCTGAAGGGCTAGTCTGTTGTTTCTAATTCCTATCGCAGCTCAAGCTTACTGTGTAGATTCATTTAGTTGTAGAATACAGATTACCATTTTTGGGAATGAAGATAATTTCTTTCTAAAGGTCTTTGTGGTAATTAGCAAACAGGAAAAAAAGCTAAAAACGGCTGGTAAATATTGACCCAAGTGCCCCAAAACACCGGTATTTTTAGCCCTTGTTTGTTCATCGTGGTTCACTCTGTCCTGATTTTTTGTGTTCTTTTCAAAACCTAGGTAAAAACCTTGATGCTATCCATGACGTCACCGTGGCATATCCGTACAACATTCCTCAAACTGAGAAGCACCTGCTCCTTGGAGACTTCCCCAAGGAAATCCACTTCCATGTCCGACGGTACCCAGTCAATACCCTTCCCACATCCAAGGAGGACCTTCAACTCTGGTGCCACAAGAGGTGGGAAGAGAAAGAAGAGAGGCTGCGGTCCTTCTACCAAGGAGAGAAAAACTTCCACTTTACTGGGAAGAGTGCAATTCCACCTTGCAAGTCTGAGCTCAGAGTCCTTGTGGTCAAGCTGCTGTCAATGCTGTACTGGACCGTGTTCTGCTCTGCAATGTGCCTCCTCATATATTTGTACAGTCTTGTTCGGTGGTATTTTATAATCAACATTGTGTTCTTCGTGCTGCAGGAGAGAATATTTGGTGGACTGGAAATCATCGAACTTGCATGTTATCATTTTTTACACAGGCAGCCACATTTAAATTCAAAGAAAGAGTAAGATGAAATGTTCAGTGAAAACCTAGGGGATACTTTGGAAATGCTGTAAGCCTTTGTAAGCTCGGATGATTTTTGCATGACTGTCAATATTTCTTACTATCATCATTATTTGTTAAAGATATTTTGCACTTAATTTTATGGGGAAAATATTGCTATGATTTTCTTTTTAAAAGATCTGAATGTAATTCCAATGCTGCGTATGTAGCAGGGATTGATCGCTGTGAAATAACTAGGGCCAGAATATCATAAAACAATCATCAAGCTGTTGAGACAAGATGCACACAGGCTTCTCTGAAAGGGCCACCCTGTTTCCTGACAGGCTCCCAGACCAGAGACAGGTCTGATACTCATGAACACCAACCCAACACACACCCTTCCCCCAGGAATCCAGGCAGGTGGTGCCCCAGCTCCTTCCCTGGGCACTGTCCATCCTTTCTATGCCAACCAGTCCCATCTCATCCCTCCTTAAGATGAAAAGCCAGAGCAATCTTGTCCTTGTACTGATCCCCATTTGATAGGAAGCCCTTCATTCGTCATAGTATCTTGTGCTGACTGAAATGTCAGAAAACCACCTGTGCCCTTTCCTCACCTGGAAATTACACCTGCACATCTCAGGGAGCAACCACAGACTCTCCATTGGAAACCTTAGTTTGAATGTTAAAAGACAGGAATTGGTTGAGCTTGTTCTTTCTTGTACTCAACCCTGCTTGATTTCCTTACAGCTTGTTGGCAGGCGAAACTTCTTCTCCATTAAAAATGGGATTCATGTAGTCACATACTTTTTTAAAGATGCATTTGAAGAATATTATTCTTATGCAATGGTTATTGCAGGCAGAAACTGTCTTGTGAAATATTTATTATTAGAAATATTTATTATTAGAAAATGTTAAAACCTCCCCCAAAAGAAAAGTTTCGTGTTTTCTGTGTGTGCGTAAGTATCTAACGTCTGTCATTAGAACAACAACAAAAATGCCTACTGATGAAGTGGTTTATCCTAAATTATTCAGCCCTTGATCCTTGATAAACTTTACTCTTACAGCCAAAAATTGCCACATAGAATGACCCGTTTACAGTGATAGCAAGGAAGCTCTCACTTTTTAGTCCTTTTTCAGTAGTAATGTTTAACCCATGTTGGCCAGCTGTTTGCCAAATATTCCTGTCATTTGGAGGCACTGAAAATCCAGCAAACCCATGCTCCAGTGTCCTGAGGCTAGAGAAGCATGTGGCCATTGTTTCCACTCCACTAGAGCTGCACGTTCCTGGCTTGTCATGAGCTAGGGATAGCGGGCAGAGCTGCAGAGCACATGAGGCACTTAAAATTGTCCAGTTCTTAGCAGATCTGTCAGCTTTCCTCCTCCGCTGAACCAGCTTCACCAGAGCTACTTACCACTCTGTGTGCTCTTTAGGCATGAATGCACTTCCTTAATGACATCTTGTTTTTGCTTGACAGTGACTTTTACCCAACATTTGAATCATGCTTTCAGTAAAAGGTAAGCACACAGTGGGCTGAACGCACTGTGCAGGTTCTTTGAGAAAGTAGGTTCTTTGGGACAGAACACTGTTGGCTTATCGTGGTTTGTTTTGTTGAAATTTTTTTTTTCTTATTCAGAGAGTATTAACTAGTGCCGCTAGTAAAACGGACCAGCCCATATTTAACTACTTGCTCAAAGGTCATTTTAATCCTGCTGGGAGTTTACTAATTAGTTACTATGCACATCTACTTCTAACATAGGTGTTTAACTTTGTAATTTTTAAGGTTAAAAACCAAAACAAGAAAAGCCTTTTTTTCTTTCCTTTAATGAGAAAGGCTTCTAATTTAAGTTTTTCTAAAACTTCCTTAAATCACATTTAAACACAGAAATAATTTAACAATCAAAATTGCGCTTGTCCCAGGTAAAAGAGAAAAGCCAAGTAAGCTCTCTGCCCACAGGAGTGGGATGGATGTGGCCCCGCCCCTTGCTGACTCACCAGGCCCATAGGTAAGGAGAGACTTCCGTTTGCATGTATGGTCCTCTTTTAAATGGGACAATCTTTTTTTTTCTCTCTCTGTTGATCATAGAAAGTATGTTTAAGGTTTAAAAAAAAAAAAAAACCTTAATTTTATTGATCTCAAATTCATAATTCTAAGTATACCACTAAAACTGGAGAATGTAGATACTACACTTTCTTTAAGAGAAGCATCTTCAAAAGAAAAAAAAAATCCCTTTTTACATATGGTTTTTAAATTACAATTTTTGTTCTTATCTACACATTTAGCTGTGTTAAAACCTTTATTTAAAAACATTTTTTAAACAATAGCTAATGATTTTGAGCTTAGAACTGTTTTAAATCAATATTAGAATGTCACATATAAGCAAATGTTGCCTCCATTAATCTGCTAGGTCTTGGAACCGCTCCCGCCTTCACCCCCGCCTTCACCCCCCACCTTCACCCCTCGCCTTCACACACACACACACCCCACACCCCACCCATCCCCCTTCACCCATGGAACTTCCTGCTCTCAGGGCTCAAAGTGGCCTCAGTGGCTCTGAAACTGTGAAGGAAGAATTGATGACCCTCTTCACACTTGCATCTTTCATGCTTCTAAAACCAAGGCCACATGGAAGACCCTGTCAAGTTCAGCTACCAGTTTTGGCCCACGCCTTCACCCCTCACCTTTGCCTTCCATCTTTCCCTTCCACCTTCACCTCCTAGCTTTGCCTCCCTCCTTCACCCAGGGCTCAGAGCAGCTGAAGTCCTGCCATGCCTCCTGCTTCCTGTGACAGTGAGCCCAATGGACCAAAATGCCCACAGTGCTGTCTGCCATTTGTCCACTTGCCAAATTTACTATTCTGAATGCTTCTAAGTATAGCAGTTATTGTTTATTTATGACACAAACTATTACACTTAAAATAGGACCCTAAAAGGAGGGGAACTGGCTAGGTGACAAGTTATTACAACTAGACATCTTTGATGAAATAGGCCTGAGGAATCCTGAAATTTAATCAAAGAACATGGTAGATGACCAAAAAACAAACCTAAATGAGTAAATGTCTGAAAGAGCTCATCACTGAAGACTCCCAATAAAGTTTTCCCTTATTATGCTATGAAAACATAGAGAAAACTAGCCTCTACTCAAGTACAGCAAAGGTAGCCACTGCAACAGCACCATGTGAAGAATCTGCACCACATGAAGACTCATACACCGAAAGCCAGCACTGGGTTCTGCAGATTCCCATTTCACCAGCTCTTCAAGCTCTGGCCCAGCATCAACACCCCAGCACACTTTTGATTAGGGCTAATGGAGGGAGCCTGTTGGTGTTAAATTGTTTACATTTCTTTATATAAACAATGTTCTTTATGTGCCTTAGTTATGGGGTCCGTTTCTTTTTCCTATTCCAAGAATTCTGTAATGTGTTCTTAGATATAAAGTCTCTCCTTGTTACTCACTAGGAGGAAAATGGTCTCAGCACTGGTTAATTAAAAAAAAAAAAAAAAAGAAAAGAAAATGTAACTTGGAGAAGAGAGCTCAATGCTGAGCTAGTGACTGCCTGTGAGTTCTTATTTATACTGTAGAAGATGAAAATGGCTTGGCCACAAAACAAACTTCAGACTAGACATGGCCCTAAAGTTGTCTTGTACCTACCTTAAATTTTTAGTTCAGAATCTTGATCTTGGTAAGTCGTTTATTAAAAGATCATTATGTGTAGAAAACCAAGTTTTAAAAATGATTCACAGAATGGCCTTAGTTTTCAATGTCCACTGGTGTGTTTGTAAGTTATCTATCATACATCCGGAATAAAGTGGAGTGAGTTAAGTCATTTACAAGTGTATGTGATTTTGTTTTACAGCAATGACAGAAATGAAAGGTCATAGTACTGTTGTTTCCTACATTGTTCAGGATTAGTTTGTGCTGTTAAGAAAGGTTGGGACTCAGATTTTAAGAAAAAGTGTTCTAAGTTAGAACAGACTGTACTGATCCCATCATTGAAAAGATCCAGGGGATACAGTTGAATTCATGTCCCAGTATCAACAGAACTTGATTTTCCTCAGGACAATTCCATAAGTATGGAACAATCCTGCTTAAAGGCGACAACAACAACAAAAAAGGATTCCATGTCCCTCCCCTCACCTCGCAGTCAGGGAGAATAACTCTGAAAGCAAATCTTGAAACATGACAAATGTATAAAGAACATTCTTAGTGAAAAGAAATAAAGCATCACGGAACCTGTTGTTAGCTCTAATGCCTGCTCTGTGGTTCTCCAGTGAGCTAGTATTCCCTGGGAAAGAGGCACATGTACCAAAAGAGTATTGATCCCAAGGACTAGGTCAGAGGGGTTGTGGGACTCCCAAGTCCCATTAAGGAAAAGGAGACTATGGACTTCAAGCTACCCTGTTCATCTCTAGCTTGACACATTTCACTAATATTAATTATGCCAAGGGCTCAAGCTATAGATTTCTTATGTAGGGACCTCAAATGCCAACCATGGATATAGAAACTTTACATATACAGTGATCTAAGTGCTAAGATATAAAGTTACTAAAAAGACAACTTGTGTTCTCCTGCCAGTGTAGATTTGACTGATAGGATCCAAATAGCGGCATGACACATACATCCTCTGTGTTTAAGTCTGGTAGGAAATAAAAAGATAGACTGCCTTCCTGGGGGCCAAACAACACCAAATCAAATCTCAGTTCTTATTCCAGAACAGTCACTCTGAAATACAGTGTGGGTCACATCCCCGTCTTACTCCCCACCCTCCAGAGCTTGGGATGGAGTTTGTTCCGCTAGACTACTATCTGAAAGATGGGGAGGGATGTACTTTAAGACAAAAATCAGATAACTTTTGTTGAGAGTAGCACAGATTGATGCTGGATGGCCAAAGTGACCACAAATATCTACCACATTTATTAAACTTCCCAAATCTAGTGGAGGCTAGAGCAGGGGGGCATGCAAGGCTCTCAGGCTCAACATAGGGAGAGACATCTGGAAGCTTAACAGACATGTTTGGAAAGCCCAGGGTTCCCTAGAGCTGTATGTAGAAAGTCTCATCAATAATTAGTCAGCCTGAATGGGACATGGTAGCACATTCCTGTAATCCCAGCACTTTGGAGGCTGAAGCAAGAGGATCATGATGTTAGGCTATCCGGAATGACAAGGAGATCCAAGCCAGCCTGTGCTACACAGCAAGACACTGTCTGAAAAAGAGGGGGTGGGCTACTGGGAAGATAGTCTAGTCAGTAAAGTACTTGTGTTATAAGCATAAGGACCTGAATGCAATCCCCAGAACCCATATTTAAAAAGTCAGGGTCTTCGCCCTATTTGTAACTCCAACAATGGGGAAGCTTAGGCATTCAGATTCCCAAGGCTTACCAACCAGACAGCCTACCCTAATTATTGAGCTCCAGGCCAGTGAGAGACCCTGTCTCAAAGAAAAAGGTAGATGGCACCTAAGGAACTATACCTGTTTGTTTTCTGACTTACACACACATGCACATGTACCTATACACATGTATGTGCACAGACATGTACATGTACATACCCACAAAATAAAAAATAATCAGTCCATCTTAATTGGATAGTGATTGCCTCCTGAACATCATCTAGATTTGAGCAAGGCAGCATTGAGAACACTTTTCTTCCTAGAGGAAGTTTGCTGGGGTGTAAATTCTACTTTTCCAATGTCTGTCCCTGTTGGCTGGTATGATTCTCATTTGCCCGGCACCACAGGCTTGGAATCTTGCATAATCCCTCATTCCTCCC